AAAAAAAAAAAAAAAAAAAAAGGCAGTATGTGAAAGGGAATGAATGCAAATCATGACAACCGTTGGTGATACCTCTTTATTTCAACCCCTCTCCCATCCCCCCCCCCGTTTCAGTGGCTACTACCACTTCTCATACCACTGATTCCCCTTGCTGCTGATTTCTGCCAGGGAGGGAAATCAGTGGCAGAAAAAGAAATGGTGGCTTAAGGAAGTGGCTGATGTTGTGGTGGGTTGTAAGCCCATAAAGTGCGGGAAATACTGAGCTAGTCATAACCCAGAGCACTGTCTAGCCCTCTTCTTCAAGATGCAGGTTCAAATCCTCTCTAGGACCTAAAAACCTGGATTTCACTCCTTGGGCAGGTACCCTTGCCACTAGACTATTGGGTTAAAATGTGGGAGGTTTGTCATTTGTTCTACTTCCAGCAGGTACACACATACCTAGGCAAACCTATTCCACAGTAGTATAACTTTGGCTGGGCACGTGAGTTACAAACACTTAGAGAGGGTGTCAGAATGACAGCTCCCCAGGGAAACCATGCAGTTGTGACAGCAGGAGCCCCACATCACAGATATTGCAACAGCAGCTGGGTGCAGGGACTCCATGCCACTGGTATAGAATCATATAAAATCTGGGTTAGAAGAGACCTCAGGAGGTCATCTAGTCCAGCCCCCTGCTCAAAGCAGGACCATGCCCTATTATATCATCCCAGCAACAGCAATAGCCAGGGACAGACTGATCGCTCCATGACAACAGCAGCTTGGGACTTTGAGATTCCTGGGCAGGTATCATTAACCCTGCCTCCTCCCCACTCCCTCACTCCCCCCACCCACAAGGATTTAGCCTAGGTCTTATCCAAACTCTCCCCTCTGTCCCGCAGGGTTTTTTTTAACCCAGGGCTTGCCATCCCTCTTTTTCTTCTCCCCCAACAGAGTTTTGCCCAAAGTGCAAAACTTGCTAATTACACCTTTGCTGTTTCATCACAGATGGAAATAGAATTCCAGTTATGCATACAAAAATGTGCACTTATATGGCTACATACATCCTGCTTGCGTCACCTAAAAATGAAATTGGATTAAACTATAGAATAGTAGCTACACACATTTTAAAACAAATGCTTGAGAATCATTGACCTGCCAAGGCTTTGTAAGAGGGGAAAACAGAACAATATGGACTAGAATTGTTACTCAAAATTTAGGTTTTATAATTCAAAAGTTCAGAATTTCATGTTTCCTTCACAAGAGCTGATGGCAATACAAAGCACGCACAGTAATGCATGGAAGAAAAGGACATTGTCCTGTCATCAACTGAGGGGAAATATGTACTCAACATCAATTTTCAAGTGTACATGTAGAGAATGTCGGCTGTTTATACATGTGCTAGCGGGGAGGAAGTGGGAGGGGGATGTTTTAATTAGAGTGGTTCCTGGACAGCTGCTCTAATTAAAATGGCTCACAATCATACATATTGAGCCCCTACACACTTTAAAATGGCCATGAGATGCTTTATCTTAAGCTCATTTGATGAGGTTTAAATAACGTGCCCCTGCAGCCATTTTAAAATGTGCAGGGGCTTAAGACACGTGATGGTGAGGCAATGCTGGGCCGTTCTAATTAGAATGCAGGGCAGTCTCTATTAATTGAGTCTGCTCTAGTGTGTTCTAATTAGAACACTAACAAGTACACGAATAGGCAGCCATAGATTCCATTCCTTAAACATTTAAATTATTACATTCTTTACAGTTCACACTATCTTGAAATTCTGTGGTGAAGTGTTGAATGGCACTGAGAATAAAAACTATTTTTTTATTAGTTGAATAAAAGGGAAAGGAATTTTTTCAGATTTTTAACAACAATGGAGTAAATTGTTCTCTTTTTAAATAGATGCCTTATTGTTTTGTAAAATCAGTTTGGTTCCCCCCCC